ATCTGATTGGTTTGCTTCATCTGACTGTGGCAAATCATAAAATGAGTAACGAGTAACTTAGACCCCCAACTGACTGTAGAAAAATTCAACGCGCAAATACTATCCCGCAGAGATTTATTATGTAATAACATAAGCTCATGCATGTGACACACGAGACGGCTCGTATTTCAAACACATTATTAAAGTTGTACATTTTCAATCAAAGCCGCATCATTTTAGGTCTTTTAGCCTTTCCCAAAGTGAAATGGCAATTGTACACAATTATTTAACCATGATAATAAGCCTCACAGTCGTATTCGTCTATCATGGTTTTACTACCGGAGAATACACAACCGCAACTCTGAACAATCGTCCGATTATTGGTATTATGTCCCAAGAAACACATGGCAAGATATATCCAAAGTTTGGTCAATCGTATATCGCTGCGTCCTATATTAAATATTTGGAATCATCAGGAGCCCGAGTTGTGCCCATAATGAATGACCTCAGTGAAGAAGAAACAGAGAAACTATTTAACTCTATCAATGGAGTTTTATTCCCTGGCGGCGGAGTTAACCTCAGTACATCTGGCTATGCTAAAATCGGGCAGCATATTGTTGATTTAGCTAAAGCCGCATTTAGCAAAGGAGACTATTTCCCAATATGGGCAACTTGTCTTGGTTTTGAATTTGTATCCACGTTGATTAGCGAAGACGTCAACGTTTTATCCAAAACTGACTCGGAGAATCTACCATTACCATTAAATTTTTCGCAAGATTACCGCAATAGCAAATTGTTCGGGAAAATACAAGACTCGCTCTCACATTTTCTCAGCACAGCTTCTACTACAATGAACATGCATAAACGCTCGTTACTGGCTTCAACTTTTGCAAGAAATCAGAAACTGAGAAGCTTTTTCAAGATTTTGTCAACAAACAATGACAGAAACGGCTTAGAATTTGTATCAACAATAGAGGGGATTAAATATCCTATCTTTGCAACACAATGGCATCCGGAAAAGAACGCATTTGAGTGGACAGTGAAAGAAAATATACCTCACCAAGATATGTCCATAAAGGTCACGCAGTATATGTCAAATTTCTTTGTGAATCAAGCTCGATTGAATAAGCATAGATGTTTATCACCTGAAGAAGAAGCCGTCTCGTTGATATATAATTTTACTCCAGTTTATACTGGGAATGTATCAAATTTTGAACAGTGTTATTTTTTTAAATCCCAGCAGGATGCCATATTTTGATTTCACAAGAGAACATAAAGATCATTCCAGTTAATAATTTTAAAAATTCTCACGTCACGCTATTTTGGTCCATGATCATCATCTGACAGCGACGTGACGTAAGGACGTCTAAGATCAATTGTTTCGTATATTAAATTAGTTGCTTCGTATATTAAATCTGCGTATAATTTTTCAAATAGCCTAATGCATATATTGCTTGTGATACATTTTGGCCGAATTAATTAAGTAATAAACAGGCATAAATATGATATGTTTTTTAAGCATATATATACCCAGTCATATAGAAATAAAGGGATCTGATATTATTATAAAATACAGTAGATTTGGTATTAAATAAAATCTAAGGATGTGTTTAAATAACGGGGTAACTTCAGTATTTTATAGTTTCCCGGCTTTCTTTATATTTTGGATTTTTATTATCACGTTTAGTAGACGGCCGGCCAAAATCCGAAAATATACACCAAAATTTGTTTAATGGCATTTTCTGTTACAAGCTGCCAACTGGCATTTTCTTAGAGTATAGGAACTAATAAAGAAGACAATTTATGGTGCAATTCTGATTTTGACTTTATAGCCGAAAATTTGAAAATTTCAAAATGTTGCCTATTGAAAGTTTTATGCATGCATGTTAACAAAATGCAAAAATTTCAAGTTTATTTTTAACAAAAATAAACTATACCATTATAGAATGTTCGCGAAAAAGTATGTATGAGATAATTTAGCGACTAGTATGATTTTTGTAGCCGATTTTGAGTTTTTAATTATATAACGTTCAAAATTGAAGAAAATACGCTAATTTATGCTAAAAGTTACTATATATTTTGCCAACTTGGAGCTCATTTAACTCAAAATCGATTTCAAAATTCGCATTACTCGCTAGGTTGTTTTATATATACTTTTTGAAATTTTGCATTTTTGCCAACATAGTAATACATTTAATAAGCAATATTTTAAAATTCTCAAATTTTCGGTTATAAAGCCAATATCAGAGGTGCCAGCATAAATAGTCTTCTTCATTAATGCACGCGCTCTATGAAAATATATGCCAGTTGGCTGGCAGCTTGTAACAAAAAATACCATCAGAAGAGTGTAACTTTCAGAAATTTCTCCGGGCGTTTATAGTCACCACCTTGTATTTCTCAATGTACCAATTATGAATTCTTGATCATGCATGCACATGCATTCTATACATTCTACTGCTTTTATTTTCTCTCGGCACGATACTACGTACCACGTACAAATTCTACAATAATTCGGTAAACTGTAGATTAATTATAATTTTGAATAAACAGAATTTTACAGTTTAGCAATTAGACAATGAGGCCGAGTTGTCTATGAGCGAATAGTCAACGAGGCGAAGCCGAGTTAACTATTTGCTCATAGACAACGAGGCCGAGTTGTCTAATTGTTTTAGTATAAACTTTAACATTAATTTACAACTAGGCTGCAAACACAATACAAAAATACACAAAAAAGCATTATAAAACCATTAAAGGTTGTCGTGAACGTTTATACAGTTACATTTATAGATCAGTAGTGTTAATATTATTAAGGAAATGTACAATTTGATTGATACTTCGGATATAGTACATAACATGTGAGCGAGCGTTGATTTTAGAACGGGAATTATAACTTAAACAAAACGTGATATTATAAAGTCTTTACTTCTTCGAACCGATTGTGGGAATCAAACTAAACTTCACCACAAGGTAAACAAATATTTTAGTTTTTTTTCGCGTAAAATGTTTTACAAAATTCAGTTTTAATTTTAAAATTTCATTGAGTGTATGTTATTTTGTCTATTTTCTTACCCTTAAAAATTGCCATTCAATATTTTTGTTGCTTTTTTCGGGGTTTTTTAGTACAGAATTGTTCAACAAGTCGTCCAAAAAATCATCAGACGCTTCGGCAAAAGTGCAAAACGCGAATTTTCCGCCATTTTGAATTTTCTACTAGTAGGCTATCACTAATAGCCTACTAGTACCGTAGCCAATCAGAAGGCACGATATGTGATAGCCTACTAGTAGGTTTTGTACTAATATCTAATAGGCTTGACCATATTGGCATTAATTGATTCAAAATTTTTCGCGGCCGGCTTCTGGGTCGTGTTTTCTAGGCTACAAATTTATTAGTTGGTTATTATATATTTTTTCTCGTATTTTCTAATTTTCCTGGGCGAACCTGATTTCTAGTGCATTTTGTTTCGTATTTGGCATTTAACTATTTCGTATACGTATTGAATCGTTGTTCGTACAGGTACAATGTCTTTTGTCTTTGATTTGATAAAATCTTCGGCTATTTCCCTAGTTGTTTTATTTAATTTATTATAATATATCATTATAGTGAATACTGCATGTCTCTTTCCATAACCCTGCATTCGTGAACACGGTCTATGGCTGGACAATTATCCGTATGAATATTAGAGATTATTATATATACTCGCTTTAGGTAAGTTTAAAGAGAAGTCTATGCAAGCGCGCTCTTTGAATGCAGAGTCGCAGGAATTATTCAACATTAAGTAAATAAGCCAATTCGGAGTTTCCTTTGTGTATCGACCAAATAACGCGCTCTGGGTTAGGATAAATCACAGTTGAACTATAACAAGTAGCCGTTACCGCAAGAATTAAAATTTAAATATCAAAGTGTTCAGCCGGTTCAATCATCATTTGGATCTTCAAATCTCGAATAAAAACAACTTAGCAGGGGCGCCGATCACGAGATGGGATGTGTCTGAGGGGCCATTTGCCTGTGATCCCGGCTTTAAAGGTGACCCTAATGCAACAAAGCTTTATCTTGATGTTTCTTGATGCAAAATTGTTTAGTTGAGAATACAAGTCCTAGCTGCGTTAGTATCTTATCCCTCAATCTCGTTCCCCGAGCCTGCGATCCTCGGGAAGGAACGCGAGGCTCTGGGATAATCCGTTGCCGGAAGCCAGGAATTCTGGCTAAGATTGAACTACGCATTCATTTCAACGGCCAATCAGATTCCTCCCTGAAACGGATTATCCCAGAGCCTCGCGTTCCTTTCCGAGGATCGCAGGCTCGGGGAACGAGATTGCTTATCCCTGAGAAAGATTTGCTCCAGGCCCCGCGCAACCTCTTGACGGCTGTGCGAGTTAATTTTTTCGAAAAGCGCTCGAAACTTAGCGACCAGGTCTTCACGAAAAAACGCTGGGCCGCCATCTTGGTTTTAAAAGTTTCTCAAAATTTGCGAGGGTAAACTGAACTTTTATACGGGAGTTTTGGTTATGTTATCGGGCAAAATGTTGCTAAACATAAAGAAGGGTAACATGATAAGTTAAATATCATATTTAATCGCTGTTATTTGCACTATTATTATGTAAATATGCACATGTATCTAACTCAAGAGTGAGCATTTGAAGCTGCCATTTACAGTATTTTTTAAATAAATATTAAAACTGATTTGAAACTTGAAGGTGACTGCTCTCGTCTTCTGGATGATGGCCAGCATGTTCACAGCTCGTTAATATAGGTACATGCAAAACTTTAATGAAAGCATTTTGCATTTTCGAGGAAGAATAATATTTCAAATATAAATCCCTTTAATCATGTACAGCCATTATGCATATGCAACCTAGCTGCTGCCACACTGTATACAATCGAATAAAAATTTGAATTTCGCTCGCTACTCTGGTTTAAATAAATGACTAAAAAGCCCAGTCGAAATGTAATCAAGATCCAACGTTTCGACACTCCAGTCTAGATTGTCATCAGGCCAGGGCCGGGTGTTCTATTAAAGTTGCAATCATGGCTTCTAATACCCGAGGGATGACGTCACCTGCCAATGAGATGCATGTATTCCTCTGGGCTTTGTAATAATTTATTTAAACCAGATTAGCGAGCGAAACATGATTACTAATATACCTGGTTGCAGTGAACGAACAAACTTTACTCCTACAGTTGCAAATTTTTTTATTACACCAGGGATGGATGTAATTTGATTTGGTGGGAGGGGTTACTGAACAAGGGCTGGTCATAAAGCAGGGCCTGACCATCAATTGAGGCAGGATGCATCATTATTAAAGGCACTGTATACAGGCTCAAGGGGCCAAGCGTGTCAAAACAAAGTTGCCTATATGGTTATAAAGCCCAATAGTTTATTTTCTTGTTGGTTAATTGCCTCAGATTTAACCCAAAATATCCCCCCCTTTCTCAGTTTTCTTTTCACAGCTCTGATATTTTTTATAGATATCTGTGATATTACAATTACAACCTTGAAGATATGATTATCTGACAACATAGACAAGATTCTGATGACAGACTATAAACTGTATTTCTAATATTCACACAAGAATGGATTGTATCATAATTAATTAAATTAACAATCTGTGATTTAATAAATATTCATTTTCATCTTCTTTCATTTCTTGTTTTCTTCAATATCCTGCAAGAAAAGATCTTAGAAATTCTGATATTTTGCAAACTTATTATGATATATATGCATGATTTACTGTAATCCATTGAGTGGCAGCACAGCACTCTCCCCCTGACGAGTAAAATCGTCTGGCATTAATGAAATAATCTGGCATTAGACAGAGTAAAATAATAAAGTGGGGCACATCTGAGTGGCCGTGCATTGCCACTTAGAGGGCTAATTGATATGTTTGGCCTGGTAGAATACCACGAATTTAGGCCCCATACACCTATGTTTTTAAATGAACAAGAAATAAGAAAGTATGCTGAATGAGTTTTTATAATAAAGACGTTCAGACATGGGGATTTTTTAATGAAAGCTGGGTTTCCCTGATGAGCATGACAACCGCCTGATAAGCGGCATATCACTGTGTAGCTTTGCACAAGACCTCACTTGAAACAAATTAAACCTCTCGCTGTTACCATGATAAGCATTTTCCCATGTAAATACACTAACCAGGCTGGTCCTGGCCAAGTAATTAGTTTAACACCAGTACAAACCTATAATTATCTGTAGCCTGTTGGCTCTTAGCCAATGAGAAGACAGTACAATGAATAATACTAAA